CACCCCACCCCTGCCTCCCTCTCCCCACAGCTGACCTTCTCTGTCCAAGGACTTTTCCTGCCCACTTCCCATCCCAGGAAGCCCCACCTGGATGCCCAACACACCGTGTCATTCTTCATCAGGTCCACCAGTCTCCTGGCTTGGTCAGGCAAGTCCCTGCAGACACACATGGGAGAGGTCTGAGAAAGGCGGGCGGGAGGGACATGGCAGAGATGGCGCAGACAGCAGAGAGGAGGAGGGTCAGGAGGACCAGACGGCCTCCTGCAGGACAGTGGGGTCTGTGACCCGGGCCCCTTTGCCGCTGGGCGGCAGGGGGAGGGCTTCCATAAACTGGCCCTGGGGCCAAAGAGAGCCTGGAATGCCGAACACTGCACACAGGAGCCGTGACACTCAGGCCTGACACTCAGGCGTGACACTTGGTGGCCTTTCTCCTCCAAACCCTGCCCATTAGGGCAAGCAGGAAGCCCTCTGTGGGCATCTCAGCCCTGCCCAGGCAGTACAGGCCCATTCTGGCAGCTGCCAAGGCCCTGGCCCCCACCCTCGGTTGACACAGTCGAGTCACCTGGGCTGGACACTTAGTTGCCTCATGCTAACTGGAAAGTGACTTAAATTCTCAGGCCAAGAAGACAGCAAAATGGAGACAATTGTGTCCATCTGGAGGGTCCTGGGTCAGTGAGGGACGGGCAGACCCACTCGCGGTAGGAGGGCTGCCACTGTTCCGGGACCGGGGTCTGGACACTGTCCCCTCACCGAGGGCTCCGAGGCCTTGGCCACCCACAGCACCTTGCCCACCCTCCGCTCTCCGTGTATGACAGGAATGGTCCCTTCTCATGAATTTCCAGCAGGAAACGTCAGTGAGTGGTCATCCTCCATGTAACTCTAGCCTGACTGGCCTGGACTTGGTCATAGTGCAAGAGGTGTCAGGTTACCCGCTGGGGACTGCAGTAGGTCACATAACCCACCTATCACCTCCTCCCTCCCTACCTATCCATCTATTCATCTATCTACCTATCAATCACTTGTCTAATTTATATCTAACATCTATTTACCTATCTGCCTTATATCTACTTACCCTACCATCATCTGTCAATTATCTATCACCTATCTACCTATCATCTATTTATCATCTATTAATCATCCATCTTCTATCTATCCATCCATCATATATCTATCATCTATCAATCTATCATCTATCTATCTATCACATAGCTACCATCTACCTATCATCTATCATCTGTCTATCATCTATTGATCATCTGTCTTCTATCACCTATCAATCTATACATCATACATATCTATCAATCTATCACCTATCATTTATCATCTATCAGTCTATCATCTATCCATCTATTATCTATCCATCACATATCTATCTAATATCATCTATCATCTATCAATTTATCATCTATCTATCTATTATCTGTCTACCTACTTACCTTTCTATCTCTCCTGTCTATCTATCTATGAGACGGGGTCTCACTGTCATCCAGGCTGGAGTGCAGTGGTGTGACCATAGCTCATGCAGGTTCAAACTTCTGGCCTCAAGCGATCCTCCCGCCTCAGCTTCCCAGAGTGCTAGGACTCCAGGTATACACCACCTAACCTTTTTGGGCCTGGAATTCCTCATCTGTAAACCTGAAGTTTTCAAGGTTGCTGCTCTGTCTATGGCCCTGAGTTGAGGACTGATGACTTGACCCCTCAGGTTCATCAAGGGTGAAACTTGGGAATCTGACCCTCCACCAGTGCATCTCAATCAACATGCAGGACACCGGGTGGATCATGAAAAGGGAGGGAATGTACCGTGCACTGCTTGGACACATAAAGGCTCTCAGCAGAGCTAGAATGACGCCTGCAGGGCCCAAAGCCAGGCCGTGGCCGAGTCGCCACATTTGTTCAGGCCATGTGGCCTCCTGTGCTTTGGTTCCTTTTGCTGTGCCACCAGGAAGTGCTTGGACTCTTGCACAAAGGGCCCTGCCATGCAGACCACACTCATCTTGGCGACTCTTTTGTGCTCGACTCCAGGGCTTTGTTTCTGGACACCCCACTCCCAACCCCATCATTCCCAGGACACCTCTCTCCGGATTCTACCAGCCCACATATGCTGCGAAACCACAACCCTGGTCATATTAAAGCAGGCCAGAAATGCAGGGCTGGGCACTGGTGCATGTCACCCCTCCCCCAAGTGGGGACGAGCCCCAGGTTCGCCAGAAACCTCCTGGGCTTGTGTGCCCCATGGTTCTGCACAGGCACCGCCTTCCTGTAGGGGATGGACAGGAAAGCTACTAGGGTCGCCCGTGGCCCCACATGATGTTGAGACCCCAGGAACCAGACCACAGGACTCCTAGGAACCATGGGAAGTGACATCAGTGGTTGTTCTAGAAGAAGAGTAAGATTCAACAGAGGGGATCTTTCTGTTTATTCTTCTCGGTGGGCTTGGCCTCCCCCCTCTGACCAGGCAGGCCCCAGGCAGCACTCAAGGCTCTGGGAGCCTAGACTGCCCTGGAGCTGCTGGACCTGGGACAGCTGATGGCCCACTCTTGGGGACCAGCCGGCCAGTGCCCACTGGCCCTGACATGAGAGCTCTGTGCCCCCAACAGTGCTCCTAGGAGGGCCCATGGCCCGGCTGCCCTGTGGCCACCATGTGTCCCACTGTGTGCTCATGGTCACAGCTCGCTAGGACTGCCATTCCCAGCAGGTACCAGAGACCACAGTCTCCCATGGGAAGGTGGCAGCCCCCATCTCTTAGGGACTTAGAGGCACCAGGAGGAAGTCTGGTGGGCTCAGGGCATCCCCTGACACGGGAAGGACATCTAAGGTAGGGAGGGAGCAGGGCTCAACACAGCTATGATGCCACAAGGACAGTCGGATGCAGGAGCCTCTCATGGCATCCATGAGGGGCAGAGGATGTGCTCAAGCTGGTACCAGCCATCAGAGTCCCTCGTGGCTGGCCTCTGGGGGTTTGGGGGTGGACTAGGGGGTTTCCATGTCTGATAGCAAAGGGCACCCCCCAGAGAGCCCCATCCAGCCTTTGACCCTCAAACCCCTTCCCCAACCAAGCCCCAGCCCAGGCCACATCGCTCGGCCCAGGCCAAGCTGCTAGCCTTAACCATAACCCCTGACCCTCAACCTCAGTCATTACCCTAACCCAGGCTAAGCCGCCAGCCTCAGCCATAACCCCCGGCCCAGGCCAAGTTCCCAGCCTCAGCCATAGCCCTCAGCCACCAAGCTCCCCAGGACCCCAGGTCACCGAGGGCCCGCATAGCTCCCCCCAGGCATCTCTGCTCACTCAGCTAGGGATCCCGCCACAGCCTGGTTTAGGAAGGCTCCTGGACTGTTCTGCTTCCCGGTGCCCACAGAGAAGCCCTGCAGGGAAGGGTTGAACTCCCGGAGAATATCTGGAAACAGAAGGAAAGGCATGCTTGGTCACAACCCATGCGATCATCACATCCCTGTTGTAAGCACTGGCGCTACCGGGCACAGAATGGCATCCCCACCCACAGCCCTGCTCTGGTGCCAGCCTTCCCTCATGTGGGGGACGTTTGCAGCACAGGGGCCCCTTCACTGGCCACTGCTGAACGCTGTGAATCTCATATGGGGGCTTCTCATGCACCTCTTTTTTCTGGATGTACAATAATGTTATTGAGAGAGAACTTATATGCCATGCCATTCCCCAACTTCAACTGTGCTGGTCAGTAATTCCTAGTCGATTCATACAGTTAAGCAACCATCACTGTAAACAACTTTAGAACATTTTCCTCATCCCACGGAGAAGACTGGTGCCCATCAGATCAGGAGGCACTCTCCATTTGCCCAAACCCATGGAATCGCAAGCCTTTGTCTGCCTCTGCAGTCTCACTTATTCCAGACTCTATGTGAAGTCATGTACTACAACATACCTCTTGTGGCTGGTGTCTTTCACTCAGCCACACTCTTGCACTGTGGGGGGCACTTCATTCCTTCCTACTACTGAATGGGTCCCTACCCTACGGGTTCACTGAACAGATGAACATACTTTGTCTGCCCATCCTTCAGTTGATGGGCATTGGGTTGTTTCCACTTTGGAGCCATAACGAACAGCGTTGCTATGAACATTTGTAGACCCATGCTTGTGTGAATTTCTCTTGGATCTGGACTGGAATTGCTGGTATCTCTGGTGGTGGTGACTCTGTTTAACCTTCTGAGGAAGTGCTGGGACTTTTTCCAAAGCAGTTCTGTCATTTTACATTCCCACCAGTAGTGTATGAAAGCGACAATTTCTCCACATCCTCTCCAGGACTTGCTATTATCTTTTAGTGATAATGATGCTAGTGGGTGGGAACTGGCATCTCATTGTGGTTTGGATGTGCAATGATGGCTCCTGGAGCTTGGCATGTCTTCATGTGCTTATTCGCCATTTGTGTATTTTCTCTTGGAGAAATGTCTATTCAGACCATTCGTCCATTTTTAATTGGCTTGTCTTCTTTTTAATATTGAGTTGTAAAAGTTCTTTGTTTTCTAGATACAAATTTCTTATTAGATATATGATTGGCAACTCATTTCTCCCACTCTTTGGGTTGTCTTTACTTTCTTGATGGTACCCCTTGCAGAACAATATAACTATTTTGTCTTTTGTCACTTGTGTTTTTAATGGTATTTCTAAGAAGACTTTGCTTAGTTCAAGGTCATGAAGATTTACTCCCATAGTCTCTTCTAAGAGCTAGCTTTAGCCCTTACATTTATGTCTGTGATACACTTTGAGTTCATCTGTGTATATGGTGTGACATATGAGAGTCCAACTTCATTCTTTTGCATGTTACCATTCAATTATCCTAGTACCATTTGTCAAAAAGACGGGTATTTCCCCATTGAATGGTCTTGGCATCCTTGCTGAAAATGAGATAGCCATAAATATGAGGGTTTAATTTCTGGCTCTCAGATTTATTCCATTATTCTATATGTCCGTCTATGCCAGTACCACATGTCTTTTTTTTTGAATTGGAGTTTCACTCTGTCGTCCAGACTAGAGTGCAGTGGCCGCTCCCGGCCACCACAACCTCAACCTGCTGGGCTCTGGCGATCCTTCCACCTCAGCCTTCCAAGTAGCTGGAACTACAGGCGCACGCTACCATGCCCGGCTAATTTTTTGATTTATTGTAGAGATGAGGTCTCGCCTGCCCACGCGGGTCTCGAACCCGCGGGCTCAGGCAATCCACTCACCTCAGCCTCCCAAAGCCGCGGGATTACAGGCTGAGCCACCGAGCCCGGCCACATGTCTTGATTACTATAGTTTTACAGTAAGTTCTGAAATTGGGAAGTATGAATTCTCCAAATTTGGTTGGGTTTTTTTTTTCTAGATTGTTTTGACTAATCTGGGTCCCTTGTATTTCTACATGCATTTTAGAGTCAGCTTGCTAACTGCTGCAAAGCAGTCAGTCGAAAATTTGATAGGGAGCACACTGAATCTGTAGCTAAATTTGGGGAGTATTGCCATATTAACAATATAAGCTCTTCCAATCCATGAACATGGAGTATCCTTCCATTTATTTAGGTCTTTAATTTCTTTCAGCAATGTTTTGTGATCTGAAGAGACTAAGAAATGCACTTTTTTGTTAAATGTATTCCTAAGTATTTTATTCTTTTGATACTATTGTAAATGGGATTTTTTAATTTTTCATTTTCAGATTAACTGCTAGTATGTAAAAATCCAATTGATTTTTGCGTTCTAATGATTTTTGGAGTGGATTCCTTGGGATTTTCCATATATAAGATCATGTAATCTTCTAATAGAGATAATTTTATGTCTTTATTTCCAATGTTGGTGGCTTTTCTTTTATTTTCAGGCCTAACTGCCATGGCTAGAATCACCAGTAAAATGCTGAATCGAAGCAGCAAGAACAAACACCCTTGTCTTATACCTCGTCTCAGAGTGAAGTGTTCCAACATCACTGTGACATATGACATTAGCTGTGGGCCGTCAGTAGATACCTGTTTTTAGACTGAGGAATTTCCCTTCTAATTTCTTAAGCGTTTTTATTGTTAGAGGGTGTTAAATTGTTGCTAAGTGCCATTGAGGTGAACATGTAGTTTTGCCCTTTACTGATACAGTAACTTTGGGGTTTTAAACTAACCTTGTATTCCTGAGCTGAATCCCACTTGGTCATGGGGTATAGTTTTTTTTTTAATGTGGCTGGATTAGGTTTGCTGGTGTTTTGTGGAGGAGTTCTGTGTCTATATTCATAAGGGTTACAGCCCTGCAGTCTTCTCCCCGGTGATGTTTTTGTCTTATTTTGGTATCAGGGTAAAACTGAGTAAATTGGGAAGTATTCCCACTTCTTCTGTTTTTGAGCAGAGTTTGTGAAGAACTGACAGTCGATACTGACGTTTGATAGAATTCACCAGGGAAACCAGAAAAGTGTGGGCTTTTGGAGGAAAGTTTGAAAATTACTAATAGAATATCTTTGGTTAGTATAAATCCATCCAATGTTCGATTTCATACTGAGTCAGTTTCCGAAGCTTGTGTCTTTCTGGGAATGTGTCTGTTTCATCTAAGTGATCTCACTGACCAGCACACAGTTGTTCACAGCATTCCCTCTAATCCTTTTTCTTTTGGTTAGGCTGGTAGTGGCGTTGTTCATTCTTGATTCTGCGCCCCCCCCACCCCCACCTTCTTGTCAGTCTAGTTAAAGGCTGGTCAGTTTTGCAAACTTTTCAGTCTCATCCACTCTGTTGCCTTTTCCACACTGGGTCTACACTCGACTTTTCCCTCTTTCATCTTACTTTTTTTTTGAGTTGGAGTTTCACTCTGTCACCCAGACTGGAGTGCAGTGGCATGCTCCCGGCCACCGCAGCCTCTACCTGCTGGGCTCTGGACGATCCTTCTGCCTCAGCCTTCCAAGTAGCCGGAACTACAGGCGCGCACTATCATGCCCAGCTAATTTTTGATTTATTGTAGAGACGAGTTCTCGCCAAGTTGCCTGGGCTCGCGGGCTCAGGCAATCCACTTGCCTCAGCCTCCCAAAGTGCTGGGATTACAGGCTGCGTTTTTCATCTTTCTAGCCTGGCTGAGAGCTTCAGAGCACAGGGCCCGTGTCATCCCAGGGCTTCACATAATGCCCATAAAATTTTAGGGACTAAATGAGACATAAAACAAAGTTCAGTCAGGCTGAGGAATCGTATGGTCACACAGCTGCTGAGGATGGAATTCCAGGCCAGAACCCTGGCCTCACAGCTCCAACACCAGGCACTGGTCCATCGACAGGACCCGCTAGGACATGAGAAAGACCTGACTGGGGTGGGGCACCAGGACTCCAGGGCCAGTGGGACCTAGCAGGGTGCTCTCCAGAACCAAGCACTGTGCGAGGTCTGAGCAGGCCTGCCTCCAGAGGGTAAAGTCCCCAACACCAAAGGTATGACGGCTTACGGCTGAAATAACTTCTTAGCGCCTAAAGGTCTGTATAAAGGGGTATGTCCCAGGAAAGTAAATGAGAGTGGGATGGCAAAATTATTAGTCAGAAGATTTTCAGGGGAAGGAATTCAGTGTCAACATGTATGAATATCATACTTTACAAACAAGCCCGCAGAGTGTGTGCACCAAGGGCAATAAAAAGGCAGGCCGGGTCCGGTGGCTCAAGCCTGTCATCCCAGCACTTTGGGAGGCTGCAGCGAGTGGATTGCCTGAAGCTGAGGGTTCGAGACAATCCTGGGCACCTTGGCAAGACCTCGTCTCTACAGTAAAAATAAAAAATTAGCCAGGCGTGGTGGTGCATGCCAGTAGTTCCAGCTACTTGGAAGGCTGAGGCAGAAGGATCTAGAGCCCAACAGGTCGACACTGGGGTGGCCGTGAGTGTGCCACTGCACTCCAGCCTGGGTGATGGAGTGAGACTCTGACTCAAAAAAAAAGGCGGATAAGCCAGGCCCTTCAGAGAATGTGCAAGTATTAAAAGATCATCCTGATGGGAAGAGGACACTGGGGACACCCGGGGATGGGGGGGCGAGGGTTGAGAGTCTACTTATTGGGAACCATGCCCACTGAAGTCTGCACATCTAGTCCTTAAAAAAATATATATCCAAGCCGGTTCGGTGGCTCAGCCTATAATCCCGCGCCTTTGGGAGACTGAGGTGAGTGGATTGCCTGAGCCCGCGGGTTCGAGACCCGCCTGGGCAGCGAGAC